TAGTGATTATACCAGAGCTCCAAGTTATGTGAATCTAGTTTCTTTGAAATCCTAAGAGTTATATCTACAACTTTCATTTTTATATGAAAGTTTAGTTTATATTCTAAGTATGAGAAAAAGGCTTAAACTTTAGGTGTTAAGAATCTGTTAGCTACTGTTTTGATATGTAGAGATTGGATTTTTACAAATTTTGTTTAGGGTTCTATTAATTGTATCGAGTGTTTATTAAGTGTCTTAAGGGTATTTTAAGCATATTTGAAGATCCGTAGGATCTTTTATCTATAAAGGCTTGTAGGAACTTGAAATTGATAAGAATCGTTACTGAAAGTCATCTAAAGGTATTTTTTTTCTAACAAGTGTAGGTAACCCGGAAGGAGAGAACTGTTCATAAGCCTCAAGTTTCTTGTGACTATTTCTAACACTTCCAAGGTACAAATATCTACATTCTTTCAATACGTGGGTAATCAAATGTAGTGATTATCCATTCCACGGAATCTTGATCATGATATTCATCCACAAAAGTGGAGGTTATCAAGATGTTATCTGAAATCTATTATGTTTATGAGATGTCTTGTTTTAAAGACTTTGTATGCTTGAGACTTCAATCCATTAACGGTGTATTCTATGATTCTTGCCAATAAATTAAGTTGAAAGCTTCATGATTTTTTTATTCTAGTTATCTCATGTTAAATTATTGATACAATTAAGGAGTTTGAGTTTAAGGTTATTGAATTTAGTTATGACTAGGCTCAGTAATTGGGGTACAGGTATTGAGACGCCTCCATGATGGTTAATAAGGGTTATGACGAAGCCAAATAGAGAATGTTGGATGCATCCTTGAACCGAATACCATGTACCATGGTTACCAAATAGAGCCGAATACCAATTACATTGGTTAACAGATAGAACTAAATATCATATATCTCTGGTTACCGGGGAATGAGATGGTGTGGTGCCTAACACTTCCATTCCATTACGACGCCTGATTAGACTAATCATCCATCAAGAACAACGTAACCTAATGATACATATGACATTCTTACCTTGATTTTTATTTATTTATTATACTAGAAGCGTACTCGCGCAATGCAGCGAGATACATCGTGATTTTAATATTTCATTTTATTCTTTATTTCAGCTGATACTATAATATGACTTTATGTGATTTTGAGAAAGCGATGATGGTTTTATTTTTGAA